ATAGAAGCAACGGCACTTTTGAGTGGGATGACCTAATAGTCATTACTATTATCCCGATGCTGTACCCTCTGTCTCACACCGCTCGTACATCATACCACCACCAAACCAGAATTTCTGGTTTTATGTCGCTGCTCGCTGATTGGAGACAAATTTCATCCCTATCAAGAGTAATTAATCAAGAACTGTCAACACTTGTTGAACCGGTGGCAAATTGTAGGTGCGAAAAAAAACGTTTTAAACTGAGCATCAGTTACAGTGCTGCAGTATTACTTGGTAAAAGTCCTTTTGGGACAATTTTGAGGAACATCTTTGGCGGTTCTCCAACATGAGATAGAGGGATGGGCTAAATGTGTCACCATGATATTGAATAATATGTTTTTTAAAAGACTCATCGTACATAGGTCTTTAACGACACACAACGATTGGTTCTCGAGCACTCACTTGGGAATGAGCCATGCCTTGATTCCCAGAATCGTTCGGGTGTTCGGAATCCTACTGTAGCCAGTCAGTATGCACTGTGGTTGCAGATTTCGGATGGTGTTTTTGATCGGGATAGAATGCAGTTCATTCAGTTGTTTTTTATTTATGTGTTTGCCAGGGTTAACGCAACCTTCAAAGATGAACAAACTGAATTAATACAGGCGGCGCGGCGGGGCAAGAAAAAGTCATTTTGCCTCCATGACTTTCAAGGCTAAGTTACACTTTATGAAATTTTTATCGGACACTTTTACTACCATATTAAAGAGCACATTAAATACTATAAAGAGACTCCGCCGCAGCCTTCTGGACGAACGCCATCGAGAGATCTCTGGCCACGCGACCGCGACTGTGGCTACCTCGGAGATCAGCCCGCGGCGTAGTCGATTTCTCCGCCACGCGTTAGACCACCCTCACGAAGTCCGCGCCCGAGCTAGCCGTAATTGGAGTGGGTTCATGCTGTCCAGGGGACCACTATTTCAATATTACACCTTCTGCAGGTACCGAAACGCCCTTCGGCATTTCGACGAGGTAGGCGGGAGTTTTTCCAAACGATTCCATCGTGTGGCCACCAAACCTGTAGCAGCACAAGCCGTGCTCAAGAAGTATGGGCACACACTGCTTACGAAGCGTATATTTTTTCGCGCACTGTCACTGTTTGCATGTAACCGGCCAGCGGCTCACCCCTTTCGAGCTGCCGGAGATCTACAATAGAAAATATCGGCTCTTCCCCTGTTCCAGTACCCGTTCCATTACCATCAACTCGCGCTCGCGCGAATACGGTGAAAGACTGTCCTTAGACCGTAGCGAAGTTGACGAGGCTGCTCAATGTGGGAGGTCTTGCAGATCAAGAGTACTGACCTCCAGGTAGCTATCTGTGGATGACTTCATTCAAGAAGTTTCGCAGCTGTTTGGAGGCGACGTGAATTCCAAAGGTGTTCTCCAGCCAGAGGCGCGACTGGAGATCGCACTTCATATTTGGCGCTACATCGAAGGCGATTGGCGGCAGCGTGCTCCAGCTTATAGAGGAAGATCTTGGGTATCTTCCACTCTGGTACTCATATCCACTTCCCCTGTCTGGGCTGCGAAAACTTCGTTGATATGTGGCTCGGCCGAAATGACTTTTTTTTTTGGCCCCCCCCCCCCCTTTTTATTAATGTGTTTGCCAGGGATAACGCAACCTTCAAAGATGAACAAACTGAATACATTTAGTAGAATAAACACGAAAGCAAAGAAGCAAATGAAAATTCCTTGTTTTCGAGAGAAAACTTATGGGCCGCTGAATAATAATTCAGCTTGTTTATTGCCATGTGAAGCAGTTCTAGTTAGCCTTAGTAACTGTGCCATCTTGGCGCCAATAGTAGAGTACACCATATAGCAAACTCTCTGAAAGTTCAGGAATCATTCACACCAACACCACACAGGCAGCCTAACGTTCACGCTGCTTACTAACATAATCAGCCCCCTAAGCAGCCATGTGTATGTGTTTTTTATGATCAGTAAGTCAAAGAACACCTGGAGATATGTTTTCGGTTAAATCTGGTGGCTTGAGATTTTTTTTGCCGTCGCCTTTGACACCAGCATCAGGCGGCTTCGCAACAAACATATGTGACACTCACGATTTGACGTTCAAAATATCCCCAGGAATAAATTATAAGTTAAGGGAAAAAGCCGGTCAAAATCTGGCCCATATTCTGAGGAGTGAGGGTAGTAAAGGGTTGATAGCGCTGATCTTCTTTCTTCTTTTTCATATCCGTTTATGGAGTACATTTCAGTTATGGGTGTTCTTATCATATTTCTTGCTTCTTTTGTCACGATTCTCACGGCGATTTCCACGAGTACTATTTGCACTAATGGAGAAATCAAAGGAGGAGGAATTTATTATTTGGTGAGTAGAAGTTATTAGGACGATTAGCTCCTCGATGATTCCTTTTCGTGAATAAAGCGAAAACCTTAGGGGTAAACAGTTGAGAGTGTAACTAACTTACCACCTGCATACCTGATATGGTAGAAGCCTTTCACTGCCGAAAGCTGATTAATAATGACTTTGTCGACAGTTGCTCTGATGGGAAGCTCGTGTCAGCTCATCTGGTTTTCGAATGATTTTTCCGTAATACAGATATCGAGGACGCTTGGCGCGGAATATGGCGGTTCAATCGGGCTGCTGTTCTCTTTGGCAAATTGTGCTGGTGCTGCTCTCTACATAGTAGGATTTGCCGAGACAATCAAACAACTGCTTATTGAAGCTGGGATCACAATACTGGACGGAAGCGAATGGGATATTCGTCTTGTGGCTGTCGTAAGTAACGATGCGAGTTAAATCTTAGCTGAATTTTGGAAAGAATGTCGGGGGAGTTTATACCATTTTCACTTTAAATTCACCCCTTTTCAAACCAAATTCACCCTTTTTCAAACCAAATTCACCCGTTTTCAAACCAAATTCACCCACCTTCCAAATCGAATTCACCCACCTTCCGAATCGAGTTCACCCACCTTCCAAATCGACTTCACCACACTTATTAGGCCGCGCAATTCATCAACCAAATCACGCCAGACACTACTGCTGGCCCCGCCCCCTCGGCCACGCCCACTTGCTTTTTGCGGAATTTTGATATTTTTTCAAAATTTTTGCATTTTTGGACTGCTACGTGAAGTCCCGCCCACTTGGGATAAGCCCCGCCCACTTTTCAAAAAATGGTGCAAATCGGCAGTATAGGGTTGTCCGCTGCCATCTAGGGTATTGCTGATCATTTCAGAACAAAGCTTCGCCTGATGTCTTCCAAGTGACGAACGAGACCGCTAGCACTGAAGCAAGACCCTATACCGTCGATTTCACCATTTTTAAGGTTGGGCGAGGGCCTTCTCCAAGTGGGCGGAGCTCTACGGTGGGCGGGGCTTCACGTAGCTTCAGTCCTCAAAAATGCAAAACAAAATTCCGCAAGGCGTGGCCGAGGGGCGGGGCCCAGCAGTAGTGTCTGGCGTGATTTGGTAGATGAATTGCGCGGCCTAATAAGTGTGGTGAATTCGATTTGGAAGGTTTGAAAACGGGTGAATTTGGTTTGAAAACGGGTGAATTTACTTTGAAAAGGGGGAAGAATTTAAAGACACATGCGTACGTTCAAACACATTGAGGGTGTATGAGACTATCAGCCCCCAGCTGTCGATGTGTCGTGGTCCCCCGCCCAAACATGCCCAGGAATGGAGATACAGGACCGTGAAACACGCTAATTCCTTCCATGCTCCGCCTTACACCTTTTTTTGCGGCGAGATTCCACGTGCTTCATAACATCGTTCGAAGCGGCGTGTGGTGCGGCTCGTTTGGTCACTTTGCCAAGTCCTTTAATTGCGCTCTCAAATACGAGTAAAACGCAATTTCCTGATGCGGATAACATTGGAGGTGCTACAAAATAAGAACAGAAGATGATGACAAGGGCCAGAACTCAAGAGCAACTCGGCTGCATCCGCAGAATCCATCAGAGGCCGCGCATTCCCAGAAACATGAGAATAAAAACAATCCAAGCGTCCCACTCGTTTGTTCTAAGTATTTCTATGGCTTTGGCGCCGGATTCGCGCCGGATCGTAGAAATTTACAGGCGATTTCAACTAATTTGCCTTTCCTTGATTTTTTCATTTTTGTTTTGTTTACATTTACATCGTGGTGCTTCATTTCTAGCCTGTGTCATCTTCATCTCCTTGTACATGGATTTTGAAGTATGAGCAACACCTAAAATTTTATTCGCATCAGGAAATTGCGTTTTGCTTGTATCAAACTAACGAGTATGCCGTTTTATTTTCATGTTTCGTGGAAATACGCGGCCTCCGAGGGATGTTGCAGAAGTGGCACAGTTGCTTTTAAGTTCTGACCCTCGTCATCATCTTCTGTTCTTATTTTGCAGCACCTCCAATGTTATCCGCATCAGGAAATTGCGTTTTACTCGTATTTGAGAGCGCAATTAAAGGACTTGGCAAAGTGCCAAGGAGCCGCACGCGACACGCGCGCTTGCAACGGATGTTATGAAGGACGGGAATCTGCGCCGCAAAAAGGTGTAAGGCGGAGCATGGAAGAATTAGCGTGTTTCACGGTCCTGTATCTCCATTCCTGGGCATGTTTGGGCGGGGGGACCACGACACATCGACAGCTGGGGGGCTGATAGTCTCATACACCCTCAATGTGTGTGAGCGTACTATGTGTCTTTAAAGTGAAAATGGTATATATCACTGGGAATGGGCGCTGAGCTGAATTTGTGGTTTGTTAGGGCATTCACCATCGTGGTATAATTTTCAAGAGAGAAATTAGTGTACAGATTTCTGGAGATTGACTTAGAGGGGCAAGTTGCTAGCTCTAATCGTTCATTGCTCATCTCTTCTGTGGAGTTCTGTGAGTTACTGTAAAGCTATGCAATATCACGAGCTTCGCAAGAGTCTGCAGGTCTCAACAAGGTGGGAGTAGTAATAAGGAAAGCTGATAAGAGAAGCTAGGACACTAGAAGAAATGCCCCCCCCCCCCCGAGCAAACAGCGCCTGTCGCCTTTTCTTGCTGAAAGTGATCAGCTGTGCAACTTGAACAGTGTTGCTATACTTCATACTGTATCTCATGACGTGAATTCTGCCAGGCAAGCTGGCCGTTTCACACTCTTGGATCTCACGCACGCAAGTACGATTTGTAAACCAAAGGACGACGGGGTGTCAAGCCTAAGCATCCATTTACCCCCGCGAAACAAATCCTATTGCAAGGAAAAGTGTCTTTTTTCTGTCGCACCTCCTCTAAGCATGAAAACGAAATAAATATTGGCCCAAATATCGGTCTAATTTCAGTTACATGCTTTGTTCTGATGGCTGTGATTGTTGTGTCGCCTACACTCGAAAGTAGACTACAGCAAATATTGCTCATTCCTCTGATTATATCTGTTCTCAGTTTCATCATCGGATCATTTATTTCGACAAAGAACAAGGTCGCTCATGGATACACTGGATACAAATGTTAGTTAGTTTGAACAAGCAGTTTTCTTTTTCAGTTCTTGTCTTAACCGCCTTCATTCATAAATCCCGTAGCAGGCACACTACCACTCGTGTAAATTTTTGGGATATGTTACGACCTCGCTCATTTTCTTGTTCTTACCTTTTGCACGTATTTATCCCTCCTCCGCGCACCAACGATGAGCGGAGTAGCGGCCTATAAAAAGTATTCACCTGTGCTCCCTTGATTCATCGAAATTCCTCGAGCGGGCGCAGTAACGTGTCCATTTCGTCCCTGCCAATGCTGCAAAAGAGTTGCCCAATGAACTCTCTCTGCTCGAGGGACACGATGAACTTCATACCATTCGTTCAGAGCTTTCACGAAGAAGTCTGACCATCGCATAGGCGGTCGTCCAGGCGTTCGCTTGACATCCCGTGGAATCCAGTCGGTGATCGCTCTGGTCCAGCGGTCGTCCGAAACGCATGACGTGTCCGGCCCACCTGATCTTCGAAACCTTGGCAAAAAGTGCGGCGTGGGTTGTCAGCAACATAGTCTTGCTGGTTTTCCACGAGATGGGTACCTGGCATTCCTACAGGTAGCGCGTGAAGAGACCATCCGGACGTCGGAGATGAGGCGCCGTCATCTTGGTCTTACAGTTGGCGAAGTCGCGGCGGGCGTTGCGTATGCTCTTCCCAGCCTCTGCGGCTTCCACCAGTACTGCTGCTCTTCTCTCCTTGAGGTCTTCCTTTATCGCTTCTCTGCATAGCTTCGCAAGCTCAGACGTCAGCTGGTAATTGCCTGCAGCGACTGGTGCGGCTCCACGTTGGCGAATCAGCTCGAGAGTTTCCAGAGATAGACGCTTCTTGGTAATCTTGGAACTCTCTGACAAGCCGTTCGTATTCCTCGTCGATGTTGTCGATGCCGGAATCCTCCCAGAGCCCAGCGAGAGAAGTGAAGTGATCCCAGTTGATGACGGTCTTGGGCTTCGGCTTCGCTTAAAATGGCGCGGACTCTCACCTCGCATCAAGCGGAATCTTGCGCGAAGAAGACGGTGGTCGGACCCGTGTAGAACTTGGGAACAACAGCGACATGGGTCAGGCAAAACCTTCGATTGAAGATAATGTGGTCGATCTCGTTATGGAATTGTCCACCAGGAGACTCCCATGTCCAGCGTAGAGAGTAGGGCTTCTGGAACTGCGAGTTACCATGGATGGTATGGGTCGACATGATAAACTCAGACAGCCTTTCACCCTGCTCATTCCACTCCGTTCCGTGAGTTCCGATGTGAAGTTCTTCAGCCGTTCTTCTTGGTCCGATCTTAGCGTTGAAATCACCGACGATGACTTTGAAAAAGGGATGATCTTCCTTGTAGAACTTCTCCAATTCCATATAGAACGCTTCGAGCTCATCCTCGTCGTAGCTTGATGTTGGTGCGTAGGCGACGAAGATTGTCAAAGCTGGAGTTGAACCACATCTCAATCGCAATCGTCCTATTCTGGTCGTCAGACTTTCGTACGAATCGATTGTTCATGGCCAGATATGGAAGTGCGTGTTGACGAGGACGCCCACACCGCCAACCCTCTGCTGTCGCATGTTCCGAGAAACAGTTCTTCTCCAGTCTCGTATACGGCGTGTAGCGGGCGCATGCTCTCGGTCAGTCCGATGACGTCGTACTTGATCTTCCTGGCTTGCAACATCAGATCTTCGATGTGAGCTTCCGATGCAAGCGTCCGTGCGTTGAAAGTACAGATCGTCATCCTAGTCCTGGGCGACTTAAC